AGGGGGGTTGGACTAGATGACCCACAGAGGTCCCTTCCAACCCCTATTATTCTGTGATTCTGTGATTCTCCAGGTGGGAAGTCTCCCCTGCTTCCTCATCAGCACAAGAGAGCTTGGAAACCTTGGAAGAAGGCACTAACCTCCAGACCCTTATTGCCCAGGGGTACTGCTCCTTGTCTTCAAGGAGTCTCTCCAGAGAGACGGTGTAACCAGCCAAGAGCCCAGCAGCTACAACTGTGTGCTAAGAGCGAGCTGCAGCCTTTATCTCAGGGCCAAGAGCGAGCCCTGGAGCCCCTGGTTCCAATGTCCATGGCCAACTACTCGTTCTGCCGAGTCGTGGCCTGCAGTAAAAGCCTTCGCACGGCAAGACGGAAGAGTGCATGTTTGCTGGGCCAGCAGCTGCTGCCCAACACACATCTGTGAAGGGTTAAGATCACGGGGCACGTTGTAAAACCCTGAACCACGCTGCCCTGTGATCCACAGAGCAAAGACTCTCCCTCCTTTCCCCACATGTTAGAGGGATGCAGAGCTTCTAACAGCTTTAGCAGCAACTTACAGGAAGCGCTGGAATGAAGATCATCACGTAGAGCTGGGTTAACCTGGAAAGAGAGTTGTTTCCCCAGTTAATGATACAGCAAAGCAAGAGCCAAGCCAAGCAGCGTTGCACTCAAGCTCTACGGAGCCTTGATTTCAACACCACACGGCAGCCCACCCACAGCCAAATGCCTGGTCCAGAAGGGCTCGATCTCCCCCCTGACCTGGAGACCTCGGGGTCCTGTCGGATGAGCAGGAGGATCCGCTCGGTGTTGACGAAGAGCGCCCAGCAAGGGAAGCAGCAAAGCAGCAGGATGAGGATCCCCCGCTGCAGGATGGTGCCCACCTGCTTGACTTTCTTGCTGCCATATGTCTGAGTCGGGGGAGAGGACCAAGGTGAGCGTTGCAGGGAATGAAAGGGCCTGGGCAGATGCTCAGGACCCAGGGCAGCAAGGGGACGATTAAATGCATTTTCCAGGCCCTGCAGTGGCTAGTGCCAGGCTGGTTGGGTGGAACTGGCTCTCGGGTGGACCGCACATCCCTTTGCTGCCCAGGCATGACCCAGGGCTCCCTGGGGAGCTGCAGGGAGGGAGCAGGCTCCAGCCGGTGCACGTGTAGCCCTGCATTGGCTGGAAGTTGCCATCCTCCCTCCCTCTGTGCCTGGATCACGCTGCACAGGAGGTGAGATAGCACCAGCCAAACCCCACCAGGCACAACGAAGGGGGAGCTGCTACAGACCTGGGACATCAGCGTGTCGCATGCTGAGGCTAAACCAGAACCGATGGAGATGCCCGTCACGTTGATAACCTGGAGGAGAGAGAAAGGACTTGGGTTGCAAGGGAGGGAGACAGGGGACCTGGCCCAAAGCACTGTGTTCCTCCCAGCTGGGTGGGGAGACAGTTCTGCTACGAGGTTTTGGGAAGTTTCCAGCCCTTCTCTAGTTCTCAGAATAACACATTCTTGTTACCTAAATAGCCTCTTCCCTCCTCTGGTGTGGAAAAGGATCCTCTAGCAAAGGGTGAACATCTAAAGGAGCCCAAACAGCGCTGCTCCTAGCCACACGCACACGCCTAGGTCTGTGGGGTCCAGAGAGCTGGTGACAGGCTCCAGCTCCCTGGCCAGGTGCTGGCCTTGCACCGGCACGGTCACCGGCTGCTCGGTGCCCATCTCCTGCCTGTGCTCAGGGCAAAAGAACGAACGATTTGGTGGATGCGATGTTGGCATTGCATCGGGCTGTGCTTACCACAGGGTCCTCACAGATACACTCCTACAGGGCTTTGTTGTTGTTTTTTCTCCTTTTTTTGGTGACATTTAATTTGTATGTTTTAAATCAGAGAGGAATCAGAGTAATACGTACAGACACGGCCAGCGTCACAGCGTCCAGCTCAGCTTTCCCCAGGTGGCCACAGAAGATGGAGCTCACCACGCTGATCAGGAACCCCAGCATCTGGGCGACAAACTAGGATGGGAGGAGGAGGAGATGGTGAGATGAGGACCGACTAGGACATGAGGAACACCACCCTTCCCCCAAGAGTCCAGCCATGAACAGGGTTCCTGGTGTCACCGCAGCACCTTGCCTCGAGGCCAGGGCTCTGCTGTCCTGGGAACCCGTCCCTGCTCACCAGCACTGCTGGGGCAGAGCAGCCAGCTCCAGGACTCGCGCAGGCTCCTGGCTTTGTCTTTCAAAGCAGGCCTCTGCCTGCCCTGTGGGATTTTGGTGTTACACAGCCAGCCTGGCAGATGATCTTCTTTACGTGTGGCTTAACGGCTTCACTAGAAATCCTCTTTTCCAGGATGAAAGATGCATAGAGAAGGAAAATAAAAAATCCCAATGCTTTTCTGCATGTCTGTGCATCTGGGGAAAGCTCTCCTCGCAAACTGCAATGTCCTCTCCTCCTGGGGAGACGCCAAGTCCAACCTGCTTGTTCCTCGCCAGGGGCTACAGCAAGGCTCAGCGACGCTGTAGCAGAGATCGCACTCCAGACCTCATTTTCCCTTGGCAAGAGGATGCCCCCTCTACAGGCATCCAAGGCATGGAGTAGTGGCACGGCCAGAACCAGATGGTAGGAGTTAGAGACATTTATACCCGCTGAGGGGTGGGCATGGCTGGGGACCATGCCCATGGTCTGTTCACGCTCCTTTCCACTCAGCAGTTGACAAGCCAAGAGTCCCATGCTGCTGGAGAACCAGCTTCTGCTGAGTCAGAGGAAGAGCAGAACAAAACCTTCTCCTCTCCAGACCTCCCACCGCTGCCTGCAGATGCAGTCCTCCTGCCAGGCCCGGGCATGCTCGACCTGCTGCTGTGAGTAATCCTCGCAGGAGGGGTCCGTACCTCCGTGACTGTTCCAGCGCAGGGCTCGACATGAAACAAGCATTAACTGCCGACAGCTGTAGGTTTGGTTTTGAGGTTATCAGTGCACGCAGAGCAGCGGGCTGTGCCTCCGGTGGGACGGTTGAGGGGACTGAGCTAGGGCTGATGCATTCAGCTGCAGAAACTGAAACCCGTCTACACTTCCTCTGCTGCCTGATGGCAACAGCTCGGTGCTTTGGTGTCAGGGAGGACATCTCTGAGAAGTTCATCAGTTGGTACTTATTGACTGGAGAGAGCAGAAGATGGCTTGGTTTTACAGACCAGGGCTGTGGTGCTCGCTCCCCTTTGCAGAAGCCTCTGAAGAACGCTCCCAGTGCTGCGCCGGACGACCCAAGGACACGTCTCCTTCCAGACCAACCGCAGCCCGGGGAGGACTGCGGGACAGCAAGC